ATCACTGTGATAGCCAATCAGAGGCTATCACAGCAATCACATAACCCAGAATCAGGAGTCCCAGGTCCCGATCGTTAGAACGGGACCCAGGGCTCTCAGTGACACCCCAGTCTTTGTGCTGGGAGCGTGCTGTGTGGCACGCTCCCAGCACAAAGACAGGTATGCAAATATGCGGCCCCACGGAAAAAATCCCAGTTCTGTGAGGGCGCATATTTGTGTGATGTCGGCGTCAAGGGGGTAAAAAAAGGCCTACATCCATAAAATAAAAGCAATAAACTCCCCAAATTAATTTTAAAAACCCCTGATGCCACTTCTCGGAAACAAAAATAAAATAAAAGACAAAAAAGCCCAAGTTACAGGAACAAAAAAGGCAGCAAAAGATCTGATAGCTCAAAATGCTAGCCATCAGAATTAACCACTTCAATTCCGGGCACTTTCACCACGTTCCTGCATTAGGCCAATTTTCAGCTTTTGCTTTTCAGCTGTTGCACTTTGAATGACAATTGTTTGCTCATGCAACACTGTACCCAAATGAAATTTTTATCATTTTTTTCACACAAATAGAGCTTTCTTTTTGGTGGTATTTAATCACCACTGGGTTTTCATATTTTGCTAAATAAATAAAAAAATTACTGAAAATTTTGGGGGGAAAAAACGTATATTTCTTTGTTTCTTTTTTGTTCATAAATTTAGGCCTATTCAGATACATTTGTTTGGTGAAAATAACCCAAATCAGTGTATATTATTTAGTCTGTAGGAAAGTTATAGTGTCCACAAACTATGGGATATACAGTATCTCACGGAAGTGAGTTCACCCCTCACCTTTTTGTAAATATTTTATTATACATTTTCAGGCGACAACACTGAAGAAATGACACTTTGCTACAATGTAAAGTAGTGAATGTACAGCTTGTATAACATGTAAATTTGCTGTCCCCTCAAAATAACTCAACACACAGCCATTATTTTCCAGCACTGCCTTGACCCTCTTGGGCATGGAGTTCACCAGAGCTTCACAGGTTGCCACTGGAGTCCTCTTCTACTTCTCCATGAGGACATCACGGAGCTGGTGGATGTTAGAGACCTTGTGCTCCTCCACCTTCCGTTTGAGGATACCCCACAGATGCTCAATAGGGCTTAGATCTGGAGAGATGCTTGGCCAGTCCATCACCTTTACCCTCAGCTTCTTTAGCAATGCAGTGGTTGTCTTGGAGGTGTGTTTAGGGTTGTTATCATGTTGGAATTCTGCCCTGCAGCCCAGTCTCCGAAGGGAGGGGATCATGCTCTCCTTCAGTATGTCGCAGTACATGTTGGCATTCACAGATCCCTCAATGAACTGTAGTTCCCCAGTGCCGGCAGCACTCATGCATCCCCAGACCATGACACTCCCACCACCATGATAAACTGTAGGCAAGACACACTTGTCTTTGTACTCCTCACCTGGTTGCCGCCAAACACGCTTCACACCATCTGAACCAAATACGTTTATCTTGGTCTCATCAAACCACAGGACATGGATCCAGTAATCCATGTCCTTAGTCTGCTTGTCTTCAGCAAACTGTCTGCAGGCTTTTTTGTGCATCATCTTTAGAAGAGGCTTCCTTCTGGGATGACAGCCATGCAGACTAATTTGATGCAGTGTGCAGTGTATGGTCTGAGCACTGACAGGCTGACCCCCCACCCCTTCACCCTCTGCAGCAATGTTGGCAGCACTTATATGTCTATTTCCCAAAGACATCCTTTGGATATGACACTGAGCACGTGCACTCAACTTCTTTGGTCGACCATGGCGAGGCCTGTTCTGAGTGGAACCTGTCCTGTTAAACCGCTGTATGGACTTGGTCACCGTGCTGCAGCTCAGTTTCAGGGTCTTGGCAATCTTCTTATAACCTAGGCCATCTTTATGTAGAGCAAAAATTCTTTTTTTCAGATCCTCAGAGAGTCCTTTGCCATGAGGTGCCATGTTGAACTTCCAGTGACCAGTATGAGAGAGTGAGAGTGATAACACCAAATTTAACACACCTGCTCCCCATTCACACCTGAGACCTTGTAACACTAACAAGTCGCATGACACTAGGGAGGGAAAATGGTTAATTGGGCCCAATTTGGACATTTTCACTTAGGGGTTTACTCACTTTTTTTGCCAGCGGTTTAGACATTAATGGCTGTGTATTGAGTTATTTTGAGGGGACAGCAAATTTACATGTTATACAAACTGTACACTGACTACTACAAAATGTCATTTCCTTAGTGCTGTCACATGAAAAGATATAATAAAATATTCACAATAATGTGAGGGGTGTACTCACTTCTATGAGATACTGTATATCTGAAAATTGATCATTCCTGATGTACTGGCTGCCTGTCTCATTGCTGAAGACCCTAAAATACCAGAACAGAACAAATATCCCCAAAATGACCCTTTTTTAAAGTAGACAGTCCAAGGTATTTAGTAAGAGGCATGGTGTGTTCTTGGCAGCTATAATTTGTGTCCCTTTTTTTGGAAAATTAAAAAAATGTGTTTTTTTTTTTTTCACTTTTTTAACATACTGTCCTCAGTGCATTACAGCATCATCATATAACTAGTATGGCGGTGAGAAAGGACACTGACTGGTGACAGAATGTTAAAAAAAGTAATAATTTTTTTCAATTTTTATAATATTTTTTCTTTTTCTTTACATTATTTACATACTGTGACCAGAGCGATACTGTATTACCATAATAACACTGTACTACTCTGGGGAGGTGATCAGGATTTTTTTTTCATTCATACACTGTGCATTGCTGTCATTAGCTGTGATTGGCCACAGCTAATCAAAAGGTAAAGATGGGCTGTGATTGGCCCTGTCTGTACCATGTGATCACTGTGACCAATAACACCTAGAAACACAATTGTTCACAATGAATGGCATGAATCAAAGCCATTCATTGTTTACAATTGTCATGTGGTCTGCTGTGATTGGCCGGTACATTGATCAGTCATCAAGGCACATTCTCAGGAAGACATCATATGATGTCCTCCCAGAACAATAAGGCTCCCACCCCCCGTCATATTACAATGGCCCGGATGGAAAGCTGTCATTAGCTGTGATTGCCCACAGCTAATCAAAAGGTAAAGATGGGCTGTGATTGGCCCTGTCTGTACCATGTGATCACTGTGACCAATAACACCTAGAAACACAATTGTACACAATGAATGGCATGAATCAAATCCATTCATTGTTTACAATTGTCATGTGGTCTGCTGTGATTGGCCGGTACATTGATCAGTCATCAAGGCACATTCTCAGGAAGACAGCATATGTCAATAAGGCTCCCACCCGGCCGTCATTTTACAATGGCCCGGATGGAAAGCAGTAAAAATACAACTTTCTAACTTGCCCTAATCTCTTCCTATGCAGTTTGTGAGTTTTCCCTAGCCTGTCCTACAGCCACTTCAATACACTGTCACTATGTCTTTGTGTCCCCATTTTACAGTGAGGGGTTTGGGCTTATCCAAAAGCCCTATTATTGGATCTTTCAAGCCTGCTGGTGATGGTTCAAAGGCAATGCAGTGCATTATGGTTTAAAAAAAAAAAATCCAGGGAGAAATCCAGGGAGAAGGGAGACAAAATTATCTGAAACTGCTAATTTGAGCCCACAGGATTCTCAACAAAGCTAATCTGAAGCCCATTCCTAATACTGACACTGAAGCCTGTACTCCTGAACAGAGGCTCACCAATGGATTAAACAGGTAGACATACTGAAAGTTTGCATTTCATTGCTGATCGTTTGGGACCTTATTTAAGCAGAATACACACAACTTGGAAAACATAACACTTTAAGGGATAGAGTAAAGATTTGATTCTATTTGTGCTGTTGATATTACAGAATAAAATGTTAGCGGTGAGTGTAATACCAATAAAGCCATAGACAGAGCTAATAAAGTACTGAATGCTTGGAGGTGGCAGGGGACAGAGACACAATCAGGGGCGGACTGACAACTCATGGGGCCCCGGGCAATAGGGGATCATGGGGCCCCTGTGTCCTTGCCCAAACTCAAAAAAGCCTGTGAAAAAGGTACCAGGGGCATCTCATGGGGCCCCCTACTGACCCTGGGCCCTTGGGCAGGGCCCGAGTTTCCAAATCGTCAGTCCGCCCCTGGACACAATTGTTAGTCGTGCCTGCAGATACAGTAAGCAGTATTACGAGTTTCCAGAAGAATCTACTCAACTAAGACCATAAAATTAATCAATAAAATGCAGCGCTTGATAATGCAGATAAAAATGACATAAAATAAATGGATGAATAAAAGTCTTAAAGAGTGCAACGTGACAATCGTGGTTCTTTAGGCGGCTGTTAAATTATCGTGACTTCCGTGGTTCATAAGAAGTGAGTATACAATGCACTAACCAGATAGCACAAGGTTTTGTGCGTTGGAGTAAATAAGACCTAGTCCAAGGTACTCTGGGAACCGGAACTCTGCAAACAGGTGAGGTCGTCAGGTGGGGTTGAGTCACCAGATGTCATCAGACCAGCGCAGATTTCCTCATTCCAGTATAGTGTGTAATCATCATATTGGATACATCATGCAGTATGGATTTCAGCCACCGGGGGGATCATGCACTTTAGTGTAAGTCTCCTACCATGGAGCACCTTAGGGGAGGGGGGCTCACGATTTCCAAAAAATTAGCCCAGAGAGAAAGAAAACTCCAATAGTGTAGTATTTATTAACCCCTTGCCTACCGGGCACTTATACCCCCTTCTTTACCAGGCCAATTTTCAGCTTTAAGCACTGTTGCACTTTGATTGACAATTGAGCAGTCATGCAAGATTGTACTCATATGAAATTTTTATAATTTTTTTTCTCACAAATAGAGATTTTTTTTTTTGGTGGTATTTAATCGCTGCTGGGTGTTTTACTTTTTGCGCTATAAACAAAAAAATTACAAAAAATTTGAAAAAAAAAAAGTTTCTTTGTTTCTATTATAAAATGTTGCAAACAGGTAATTTTTCTCCTTCACTGATGTGCGTTGATGAGGCAGCACTGATGGGCACTCATAGGCGGCACTGATGGGCACTGATAGGAAGCACTGAAGGGCACTGATAGGCAGCACTGATAGGCAGCACTACTAATGAGGTGGCACGGATAGGCGGCACTGATAGGTGGCACTGATGATGGGCACTGATAGACAACACTGATAGGGGGCACTGACTGGCGTCACTACTGGGCACTGACTGGCATAACTGCTGGGCACTGACTAGCACAACCGCTGGGCACTGACTGGTGGCACTGATTGGCAGCACTGCTGGGCTGCACTGATGGGCACTGGTGGGTGGCACTGCTGGGCACTCTCTGACAGCGTAAGGAAAGTGCAGCCGAGAACCGCCAATTGCATTTCCCTGTAATCAGCATGTCATTTGAGATGGCTGATCACATGGTAAAAGGCCTCTGTGAATGGCCTTTTACCACATCACGTGATCAGCTGTGTCCTACGGACACAGCGATCACAGAGATTGCCGGGGGAGTGCCCCCGGGGGCGTGCAGGAGAGTGCGTTCTGGGAGGACATCATATGACGCCCACCCAGAACTGGCCAGCCGCAGCGCAGCCATCATTCGGCTATCTGTGGTCGGCAACTAGTTAAAACAAAAGGAGTTACAATTGCAAGCAAGTGAAAAAAAAAATGGAAAAAAACTGACACTTACATCCAGTGGTAATAAGGTTAGCATACTGGGTCAATAATCCTTGTACAGGGGGGTCCACTGACGCGTTTCGAGTACATCCTCATTTTCAGAGGGCAAGAATGTACATGAAATTTATTCTTTGAGGAGGAACCCTTTACATGAAAAAAAAAAACAACAATCACCAAAAATGGAGAACTCGAACTAGTCCTTTGTAAAGGGGCTAGCTCCAACCCAAGTCTTGCATGGAAGTGGCATCATAGGAGACCATCAATGTTTTTCAGCACATTTAGATAGAAGATTACTGGATATGTCTATATTTAACCTCTTGCCGACCGCGCATAGCCGAATGACGGCTTCACCGCGGCCGGCCAGTTCTGAGTGGACGTCATATGACGTCCTCCCCCAGAACGCGCTCTCCTGCGCGCCCCAGGGGGCGCGCACCCGGCGGCTCCCGTGATCGCTGTGTCCTACGGACACAGCTGATCACGTGATGTGGTGAAAGGCCGATCCCACCGGCCTTTTACCACGTGATCAGCGGTGTCCAATGACACGCTGATCACAGGGAAATGCAAGTGCCGGTTCTCGGCTGCACTTTCCTCACGCTGTCAGATCGTGAGGAAAGTACTGCCGAGAACCGGCAGTTGTCAGAGCGGGGATCGGCACCGATCATCAGGGCACTGATGATCAGTGCCCTGATGATCGGTGCCCAGCAGTGACACCCGCAAGTTCCGCCCAGCAGTGCGCCCACTAGCCCCGCCCACACCCGTTCCCAGCAGTGCCCCCACCTGTGCCCAGCAGTGCACCCACCTGTGCCACCTACCTGTGCCCAGAAGTGCCACCTACATGTGCCCAGCAGTGCCACCCACCTGTGCCCACCCACCTGTGCCCACCAGTGCCACCCACCTGTGCCCACCAGTGCCACCCACACTGTGCCCACCCACCAGTGCTGCCCACCAGTGCCACCCACCAGTGCAGCCCAGCAGTGCTGCCAGTCAGTGCCACCAGTCAGTGCCCAGGGGTTGTGCCAGTCAGTGCCGCCAGTCAGTGCCCAGAAGTGATGCCAGTCAGTGCCGTCTATCAGTACCCATCATCAGTGTCACCTATCAGTGCTGCCTATCAGTGCTGCATATCAGTGCCGCCTATCCGTGCCACCTCATTAGTACTGCCTATCAGTGCCCTTTAGTGCTGCCTATCAGTGCCCATCAGTGCCGCCTCATCAACGTAAATCAGTGAAGGAGAAAAAATACCTGTTTGAAAAATTTTATAAAAGAAACAAATAAACTTTTTTTTTTTTTTTTCCAATTTTTTGCACTTTTTTTTAATTTATAGCGCAAAAAGTAAAGTGCCCAGTGGCGATTAAATACCACCAAAAGAAAGCTCTATTTGTGAGAAAAAAATTATCAAAATTTCATATGGGTACAATGTTGCATGACCGCGCAATTGTCAATCAAAGTGCGGCAGCGCTGAAAGCTGAAAATTGGCCTGGTAAGGAAGGGGGTATAAGTGCCTGGTAGGCAAGGGGTTAAGATTCTTAATAACTTCCTATGGGAAGTTTATGACAGCAGTGAGCTTGGTAACACTGAGTGACCAGTTAAGGCTGGATTCTCACATGACGCAAAATTCAATGCTTGGAAGGCAGCTCCAACCCTCACTAAGCACCTCTTCATTGTCCGAGCCAAAGAATGGAATTAGTTCATGACTGGGTGCAGGACTGCTGACATTTTGTGCCTGAAGCTCAGCCAGGAGAATGATTTGTCATCTAAGTGTTGCCCTAACACCTTTCCCTAATACCTTTCTAAATCCAGTTAGCCTGTAAATCTGACCTGGGGGTAGACTCACAAAAGCAGTCAAAGCAGCCATTGGAAGGATTTGTTTAATGCAAGGTAAACTTTTTTCAAAATGCAAAGTGAAAATGCGATAATAGAAATCAATTAGTTTGTGTGCACAAGCATTTTGGGATGGATGTTTAACCACATGAGCCCTGGAAGGTTTTACCCCCTTCATGACCAGGACAATTTTTTCTATTCGGCACTAAACTACTTTAACTGGCAATTTTGCGGTCATGCAACACTGTACATAAATTAAATTTTTATCATTTGTTTCACACAAATAGACTGATTTTTTTTTTCTTATAAAATACCCCATACATATCTTTTTCCTGCAGTCTGATGATATCATGGCTTCCTCTGGCAGCAGGGGGAGAGGCATTTCTCCACATGTAATGATGTGTGAGTGCAACTCAATCCTGGAGTATAGTGAGCCCAGCCTGTCTCTAGAGGACATGCAAATGACAGGTAGGGCTCATAGTAAATTGGGAGAATACTGCAAATGTCATTCTGCCTGAAGAGGGCAATCGGTAATGGACTGTGGAGGAATCCTGGGATCAGCACTGGCACATTGAGAAGATATGTAGAGATTAGCAATTGTTTTTTTTTTTTTTTTTTTTTTTTTTTTTAACGGGGGAGGGAAAAATCTAAAAAATAAATGGAGTGCTACTTTTCAAAGTTACTTTCAATATTCCATAAGCTTCTGGTGAGCTATCTTGAAACAAGATAAGCTTATAGAGCAGGGGTGGACTGACAACTCATGGGGCCCCCGGGCAATAGGAGATCATGGGGCCCCTGTGTCCTTGCCCAAACTCAAAAAAGCCTATGAAAAAGGTACCAGGGGCATCTCATGGGGCCCCCTACTGACCCCGGGCCCTTGGGCAGTGCCCGAGTTTCCAAATGGTCATAAACTAGAAAGTTGATACGAGCGCTTGGACTAATATGTGAGCAGCTGGCATAAAGGTACAACCTCAAAACCTTCTCATTGGTAACATATAAAAAATGCAGCGCTAAATGTATAGAATAATGACTAGTGTAACAAATCGTGTCATATAGGAATAATAGTAGATAGAAATACAGCCCAATGACATAACAGAAATATGTGCATATGGTGATCAATAATCAATGTTGATACATCCCACGTTGTGATAGTGGACATCCAAATACAGGTGAAGTATCAGTGGTTCCCGTGCTCAAAGGTGTGTATATAATATGCACTAACCAGATAGCGCACAATTCAGTGCGTTTGAGTAATCAGACCACTCCTGGTACTCTGGAACTGGGAAGAACAAGACCTGAGGATCATCTGGCAGAACGAACAGCTCGGCAGGTGATCAGCATCTCATCTTTACCAACTGCGGTACCTCTTCCATCCAGCAGGGGGCCCTCACCCATGTATAATGGGCTCTCAGATACCAGTCAGGGAATCACCCCAAGATCATACACATCGGGCTAAGAAGATCCACCTTGAAAGAGGGGGCTCGCGGTACAACGGGCCCCAACAGAAACTCTGATAGTGTAGTAGTTTTAAGATCCTTTATTGATTTCAATATAAGCAGATGAGCACTCACGTTTGGCAGATCGTACAGATTCAAAAATGGCCGCCGGCCTCCACGCGGCTCGGACGGCGTGACGTCACCGGCTAGGCTCCACCCAAATGGTCAGTCCGCCCCTCTTATAGAGTGCTTAATAAACCATAGATTTATTTATCAAGCTGTTGGAGAGCAGCAAAAGAGCAGAGTGGTGATTTTAGGAGGACTACATTGCAAGGAAGTGTCCCAGAATTCTCAGTGGAAATGGAAACGTTTTCTGTTGGGGATGCAGTGTGCAGTAGGAAGTAGATAATCCAGTATTCAGGCCAACAGATTCCGATTTAGGCCCACAATATAATCCTATAAACATTGTCCATAAATAAGAGCTTCAATCAGAATGTTATGAAACAAGATTACCAACATACAGCAATTCATGGAGCAAAAAAACAGGAGGGAGCAGTAAACTGGATGCAGCAAGTTTCTCTAGTAATTACACCCACTTTCTGTACTTAGTATCCATTTCTACTAGACTGAGATAAGTCATTGTTTTATAGCAATTTGTCCTTCAGAAGACATATGGAAATCTTTAGTGGATGCTTACCAAACGCAAGTTAACTGTATATTCCATTTTTCTTAGATGCTTAGATGAGCATTTCCAAGTGTTATTACAGAACTAGGAAACTTTCTAGTTAGATAGTTGTGTGAACAAAATGTAAAAAGACAGCATTGATTAGGGTTTCATCGCATCCCTGTAAAAATGGATCATCTATGAATTACACAGGTTCTGTGGCTGAAAAAAAAGTGGTAATTTACTAGTGGTTTGTTAGTGGATAAATATCAGTTACCACATTATCCCACACATATTACCATACATTACCCAATATGGTGCTTCTTAATATGTTAGGAAGGATATGATCTCTGGATATCTTGAAAAGTGTTGACCTCCAAATGTTCTCTTTCACATGTTTTGAGAACAGCTTTTGGAGTTAGCCTGCACCTATATCTTGCATTGTAAATCACAGGGTAAGTGAGCGCTAGAATAAAATTATAAATGAGTTGAAAGGAAGAAAACAGCAGCTGAACACCAAAAAGGCACCATATAAACCTCCAGAGTAATCAGAATAAAGCAAGGTGCAGCGCTAAAATGATCTGTTAAAACATATGGACATGTTATATTCAAACATCCTCATATAAAATGCAGAAAAATATAAACCAATACCAAGGTGCAAATAAAAACGTCACCTAATGGTGACTAATAGGTGTTTGGGCACTAAACCAAATACAGTCTATAGCGTGAGTAGAAAAGATCCCAGACG